TGTTAACAGGACGCCTAGAGGATATCAAGATAAGCTACTCACTTCCTTGTACATTGTCTGGCCTATTCTTAGTCTAGGGATCTGCCACTTCTCTCTTCTACCTCACTCTACCCATAACGGACCAGGGAAATGTGAGTGGAAGAAATAAAACAAGTTTTTCAGTTTAGCCAGAAAATATGTTTAAGTGTGTTTCTTGTCTTTGGGCACAACCAAAATGAAAATATCTAAGTAAGATCTGTAGTAATGTTTTTAGCTATGGAATAGCCTTTGGTCTGCAACAAGATAATTACTAAGAATTTTTAAGGTGAGAGTTAATTTATATATACCTAAGTAACATCCAACTATTAACCATTGTATATGACAGTCCTTATATAAACTGAATATCTCTTTTACACAAAGATAAGAGTTTTCAAGAAGCAAATATGTTGTTCTAAAGCCATACTGATCTTTGACAAAGCACACAAAAATATACAGTGGGGCAAAGACACCCTATTCAATAAGTGGTGCTGGGAAAATTGGACAGCTACATGCAAAACATTTAAATGGATCCTATCTCTCACTATACACAACAATTAATTCAAGATGGGTTAAAGACTTAAATGCAAGACCCTAAACCATAAAAATTCTAGAAGAAAGCTTTAGGAAAAATATCTCTGGACATTGGCTTAGGCAAAGAATTTATGACTAAGATCCTAAAAGCAAATACAACAAAAACAAAAATAAATACATGGGACTGTTTTAAACTAAAAAATCTCTGCACAGCAAAAGAAATAATGAACAGTGTAAATAGATAACCTACAGAATGGGAGAAAATACTCACAAACAATATGTCCAACAAAGGACTTATATCCAGAATCTATAAGGAACTCCAACAAGTCAGCAAGAAAACAAAACAAAAAACCACAAGTATCTCCATTTAAAAGTGGGCAAAAAACAAGAACTTTTTTCAAAAGAAAATATACAATGTCCAACAAACATATGAAAAAATGTTCAACATCACTAATCTTCATGGAAATGCAAATTAAAATCACAATGAGATACCACCTTACCCTTGTCAGAATAGCCTTTATTAAAAAGTCAAAAAGCATTTGATGTTGGCATGGATGTGGTGAAAAGGGAACACTTTTCACTGTTAGTGGGAATGTAATTTAGTACAACCTCTATGGAAAACAGTATGGACATTCCTCAAAGAATTAAAAGTAGATCTACCAGTTGATCTAGCAATCCAACTATTGGGTATCTACCCAAAGGAAAAGAAGTCATTATAAAAAAGATACATGTACTCATATGTTTATTGTAGCACAATATATAATTGCAAAGACATGGAACAAACCTAAGTACCTATCAACTGATGAGTAGATAAAGAAAATGTGTGTGGGAAGTACATATGTACACACACACACACACAGACACCATGGAATACTACTCACTCATAAAAAGAATAAAATAATGTATTTGCAGCAACTTGGATGGAACTGGATACCATTACCCTAAGTGAAGTACCTCAGGAAAGGAAAAGCAAATACCACACATACTTACTTGTAAGTGGGAGCTACATGATGGGTATACATGCTCATACAGAGTAGTAAAATAAACTTCAGAGACTCAGAAAGGGAAGGTGGGTGGGGGTGAGGGATTAAAAATTACCTATCAGGTACAATGTACAAAGTTCAGGTGACAGGTACACTAAAGGCCCTGACTTTATCACTATACAATTCACCTGTGTAACAAAAACCACTTTTACTCTCTAAATCTACTGAAATAAAAAAAAAAAAAAGAAGAAGGCACACTGTTCTAATGTCAGACACCAAAAAAGATTTCAGTAGAAATACAAATACAAACATACACAAAAGACCCCCCAAAATCTTAATCTCAAAATTTTGTTATAACACTTTGTGTACTTCTGTTCCCCACAACTCCTACTTGTTATTTAGCTGTTTAAAGTGGTTAAAAATAAAATTATTATTGTTCTTATAATGATTTATGATTATTCAAAGTTGGTATTGGGCAAAATGGTACAAATGGTTATTCCAGCACCTTCCTCATCTCGAAGCCATTTTATAATTGCATGTTTCCATGCTGGCTCTCAGTGTGCTGTTTTCATTCTCACCTCAACCAAGGGTGTATTTCTTGTCATTCAATCAAAACTTTATATGTTCTTGTCCCATGCCTTTTCTTCTCCCCACAAGATGATAGATAACTAAAAATTATTTGCATCAAATAAGTGTGAAGAGGTTAACTAGATATTGTGCTAACACTTCTTGGGAACATACCTTTAATTAATCAGAATAGTGTTTCTTAAACTTTAGTAATCACTAGAATCACTGAAAGGATACTTAAAACACACATTTAGGGCCCCATACCCAGAGTTTCTCATTCCATAGGTCTCAAGCAAGGCCTAAGAATTTGCATTTCTAACAAGTTCCCAGATGATGCTGATATTGCTGGTACTTTAAGAACTAAGATAAAAATTTAATATATACTATGGTAGGTTAGACAGTGAGGTATTTTATTAATCTGCAGAGTTTCTCTATTTCCCTTCATATTATACCAGGTAAATCTATAATTAAGCCCAGCCTGGTAGCCTTGCACTTAATAGAACATAAATTAAAAAAAAAAATTATTGACTTACTTTATATGACATATAAGCAAACAACATAAAACAAATATCTTTCCAAAGCACAAAGACAATCTTATATGAAGTGAATTATAATGTTGTTGCTTTAATCAGGTTACCCAGAACGTTTACCTCTTTAAGATATTACCACTGAGCAAATTTTATCCCACATTCCTCTTCATATGAATAATTAGGTATTTACTGTCCTTTCTTACATATTCTTGCATATATACATAATCAGGTTTGCTTGTAACTTCTGATTCTTACAATTGGGGTTACACTATCAATCAGATTATCTAAAGTTAGTACAATCATCCTAGACTATCTCTCTTATAGTATAATTCTAGCATATAATTGTCAATCACCTAATAAATTAAATATCAGGAAAATGCCCAAATTATCCCAATTTTCCACCATTTTTATTGTACATTGTCTTAATTCATATTCAAAAAGAAATTAACTCTTGAACAAGTACAAATTTTTCTAAACAATCAACTCATTATCTTAATCATTTATTAATTACCCATTTCTATTACTGCACAAGAAAAATATCAAGTCTTTCCAGCAGAGCAAAAGGAATATTTTTGAAATAATAGTGCTATATTTTGGTATCACACAAGTTAAACATCTGTCACAATCATAAGTAATACATGATGTGAGCTCCCTCAGTAGATAAGGTATGTTTAAATGAGCTGTAATTTTGAATAAATAACTTTTTGAAAATATTCTGTAGTATTGATATTAAATGTAGAAATAAATAATCTTTAAAGACTAATTTTCTTTGTGGAAAGATTCTTCGAGTAGCATATGTTATTTAATAATAACAGAATTCAAGTATTATAAAAAGTTTGAAAATAGTTATTCTTTCTTATTTCTTTAATATAATCAGCATAAGATCATGAAGAAAACATAATGCTTCCTATGTAGGTTTTAACTAGATCAAATTAAAGTATTTTTAGATTCTTAATTTCCATCATTCCATTTTTCTCTACCCATTTCATTTCCAAGATTCTTTCTCCAATTATTATTTCCATGTAAGTAGCAGTTTAGTCAAAAAACCCATTCTTCAGTAAGAAAACTATGTTAAAAGAAAAAAATAAAAATGTTGATGAGGGAATCTATAAATTCTGACCAATTTGCATTTACCATCATTTCATCAATTCTATAGCAATCATGCCCAAAATAAATAACAATCAGTATTCCTTTTCTCATCCAAAATACCCCAATTTTATCTCACATGTCACTATGAAGTTATTTCTAACTTAAAAGTGTAAATTTTATATCCATTATAAATATAAGAAATGAATAATTTCAATAACCTGAAAACATTAATCTTGCTTTTTACTTAACATTATAAGACAATACCTCAAAAATGCTTAATTTTTCAATGTTGAGCACAAAAGTAAATCATGTGACCAAAACATTTATATCCTCCTAATATCTTGAAATTTAAAGAAAAGAATAATTAACACTGACTGAACTCAAAATACATATAAAATCACTGCATATTTCAATGTAAAATCTAAAGATTATATTAATTCAGGTTAAATTAATAGCATAAAGTCTGTAAACTCTCTTATCTCACTGTGAGGTAAAATTAATTACTAATCAGCACATTTTGATTACAGGTGTACAAGACAAAATTCATGATTAGAAACCTTACACCAAAAAGCCTTCCACCAGAGCTTTATCAACTATGAACTATATGAACCAAAAAGATATCAGTAGGATTGCAAGAACCAGTTGCAAAACAAATTCCTCCCAAGTGTTTTTTGCAGCAAGATGATAATTTTCGCTTGCTAGCATTATGTATATCCAACCTTTGAAGAAATCATTCTGATGATATTAAAGCATTCTGAGAATGAATTACTGATGGCATTTAGTGAGCTACTGAATAAGAGAAATAGAAATTAAATAAATTAAGTATGTTTCCCACAAACGAGGTGATTGTGCAGAAAACTAAAGATTAGTGGAACTAGATATATTGGCTTGGGTATTACTAAACTTTAAATAGAGTTACTGCATTACTGCAGCGATTTGATGATACGGTCCACTGTTCACCTGAAACCACCAAACATAGCATTCTTAAACCTGCTTCATATCTCAGTTTTCAGTCACTGATCATTTCCTTAGAGTGTACTTCTGTTCAGCTGAGATACAGTGTTATGGTATCCTTCACACTATACTTAAAAAAATCTATAAATAAAGGCAAGAACATCATAGGGCACAATTTCTCATAAAATGAACAAATAACAGATGTTTAAATGCTTTAGAGTATCCCTCAATATAACACATACTACAGTAACCACACATATACATATGTGTGTATATTACATTATGTTGATGATAAAACTATATTTGCTATTTTAGATATTTTCCTTACCTGTCAAATTCTTTAATCCCAGTTCTTGAAGTCCAAAGTTTCCATCTTTTCTGTAATTTAAAAATATTGCCAAGGCATATCGATCCTCATAAAGTTTTGTCCCACGAATAATGCGTAAATTCTCCAAAGGCAGGTAACGAAATTGATTAAGGGCCACTAACACGTAGCCTGTGACTTCTCGAATAGACTGAAATGACACAAACAATTGCCTGTGTTAAAAAATTAAAGTTAATCTGTCAGTATGCATATGCAATCATTTAGATAAAAATGAGGTATTTAACCCAAATGTCCACCTTTTTATTAATTTCCACATCATATTCTAAATAATTGGCTAGATAATACAAATCAAAAAGGGTTAGAATCTCATTTGAAGTATAAGTTGTATTTCTTTTAGAGTTATGAATGTGCTGATAGTAAAATAATGGACTTTGTTTTATGAGATATTCTTCATATCTGACATAATGAATATAGTTAAAGGCATAAAGACCTTGTTCATTGGCAGACTACAATGAGGTAAGGACACATAACCATCAATCGAATTTTACATAAAAAAAAGCAAATTGTTAAGCTTATCACAAGTAAAACAAAACTGCATTAGTTTGTAGACTGTGGGGCAGATTTAAAACTGCTATATTGGTATTTAGTGCTCCATTTCTCAAAGAACATTTGCTCTGTATATGTCTGGAGAATACTAACATAAACAGTATGTATTAAAAACTGATTATTGTCTCTAAACTCATTACAACCAATTTTTTATTTTTATTGTCTACCATTTAAATTTCATTCTCTTTGAGTTGATTATATGAAATTTTGTGATATATTTTAAAGCAAAACAATATCATAAAAAAGGCTTTGAATTTCATCTAAAATTATAGTTTTTCAGTAAAAGGAACAATGCCATCATGACAGTTATGAACATACATATTAAAATAAAAACTAAAATATAAGAGTACTGAAGTATTTGATATTACTTTAATACCAATTTCATGTTATATTAAACTTTTTAATTTCAGATGTTCCAGGACTCAGTCCATGGCACTTTTTTCCCCTGTCTAGTTTCATTCCCTTGGTGATCTTACCCAGTTTCAAAGTTGATAATCTCTATACTCTCTCCTCTCCCCTCAACTCCAGACTCATATCCAGCTGCCTATTCAACATCCTCATTTGGATATCTAATATGCTTTTCAGATATACCTAACAATAGCTGAACTCCTGTTTTTCTTCCCTCACTCCTACAGCAGCCTTCCTCATCTCAGTTTAGGTCAATTCATCTTTTCTGGTTGTCAGGCCAAAATTCTGGAGTCATCTTTGATTTCACTCACGTACGCCAACTGTGACTTTCCATCCTATTCTACTTTCAAAATGATCAGGAATTCAACCACTTCTTATGTCATTCATCGCTACAATGTGAACCACCATCATTCTTTATATAGATTATAGCAATAGGTCCCCCTGTGTCTACTCCTCGTCTATTATGGTAAATTCTCAATTAAGGCTAGCCCAGATTCTTTTAAAATATGAATCAAATCATGAGATTTCAATGATTAAAACCCTGAAACATCTCCTAAGTCACTCAGAGTAACAGACAGATATCTCCCTTTTAATGAAGAGTCAAAATCTTTATCTATGCTTCCAGTGAGATAACCACTTGCCATATGTGGCTACTAAGTAATTGAAATGTGTCTAGCATGAATTTAGATGTGTTGTGAGTGTAAAATACACTCTGGATTTTGAAGAGTATATGTTGAAATTATAACATCATAGATAAATAGAGTTATATAAAAATGTATTAGTGAAGTCAATGTCATCTGTTTCTTTTTACCTTCTTATTGTGGCTACACAAAAATTTTAAATTACATTTTCATGGCATTCATTATAATTCTGTTAAACAGCCCTGCACTAGATGATCTGGTCACCAGTTCTCTTTAAACTTCCCTTTTTTAACTTTCTACCTTGCTCACTTTGTTCCAGTTATGCTGGTCTACTTGTTCTTCCAACATGCCAAGTGTGGTTCTACCTTAAGGTGTTCATTATACTTTTAACAGTCCCAGTTGCTCTCCCTCTTGTTGTCTTCTTGGCTAACTTCTTTACTGCCTTCAAGTTTTTACTAAAATCTCACCTGCTCAGTTGAGGCCAACACTGATTAACCTATATAGCACTGCAGCCCCACCCCACTTTTCCCTGTTCTAATTTTTATATTTTTCCAGCACTTACAAACTTCTCACATACTATATAATTTATATATTTATCACATTTAGTATTTATACTCTGTCTGTCTTTCTCCTTCCCAGAATATAGTTCTACAAGGTCAAGCACTTTGGTTTTCTCACTCATGTGTTCCAGAAAAGTACCAGTAAAAAATTAACAAGTATTTGTTAAGCACTCTGGCCCTTCTTTGGCCATACTCCTCACCATCAGGCAAAGTGTACGGAGTCAAGAATAACACCCGTCTGGAGTCTGCACTCCTCTCTTCTTCAAGAGAGATGCTTCAAGCCCTGCAATCCCAGAATTCCCTTCCCAAATGATCCCAAGCCCCCATCCAGGGCCTGTAACATCATCTTTCCCAGTTCTGTTCCCCATATAGCAGATGGTGCCACCAATGTGCATATATCTGGTCAGGATAGGTGGTCCAGGTGCAGATGTGTGAAGGGAAACTATACAGATCCTAGATGTGTGGGCTTCAGTGTTCATTAACTTGCATGCAAGATCTCTCACAATACAGGATAGAATCAGGTGGAGGAGAGGCTGCAGACTGGGGGCCATCTCTCTCTCCATGCCACCATATTCTTAAGGATGCCAAACATTCTAACTTTGCCCTTCATCCTCCATGATGTTATAGAGATATATGTCAAAGTGGAGGATACAACATAATGTTTGGTTTATAATAAATAATAAGACAAAAAATGGGGCTTCCATTTATACTTTTGCCCCCAGTCTCACAATTTGTAGGGATGAGCATGATGTCAATAATCACCTAAAAGAGTAGAATCCTAATGGAGTAAAAGTGGAGATGAAGAGGCAAGGAACATATTAAATTTCTCATGCCTGGCATCAAATTGTGAGCTCTGAGCCACTATGGACATTTCTGAGACACTGAATGCCTTAAAGCAAGGAGATAAATGCTTAGGACATTAGAAAAGTGTAGAAACATTAGCAGGATGTGCATTGTTTGTATACCACAATTTGTTTGAAACTGCACCTGCCTACAATAGTCTAGCTCTAGGGCTCTACAATTTCTTCTTCAAATAGTTCCAATGGTTGAATGGTTACCTTTTTGAGTTCTTGAAAGAGAGATTATAAACACGTTTTGACATCATATGATCTAAAAAGTAAAATACTTTTATTATAAAAATTTGTCATTTAACTTATACACAATAATTATTAAGTGGCCTAAGTCACAATGATGGCACTAAGGCAAATATTGAAGATGGAGAATGTATAGTCCATCACTTGCCCACAGAATGTCATAACATCCATCAGTCCTTCTAACAGACTCATGATTAGCTCCTACCCTACATAGGAACTGACTCATGGAGGAACCTATTAAATGGTGTTAGCAGAGAAAACACAGATGAATCATACTTAGGTAAAAAGCAAGAGATTTACAAGCAAAAAAAAGCAATGCCATTAGTAATTTTGCAGTGTTTATTAGTGGGAGAAATATTTCTAGCTATTAATCGATAAAAATGTGCCGCTTGGCATGGCTTTTGAATCACACATTAGCAGAAGCTACAAATAACCTGCAAATAACACGGGCTCTATTATGTGTGAAAAATTTGAGCCAAGAACAATGTTGAACACATAGAGAAGGAACAACTAATAGAGGAAGATTCAAGTGCCTTTATCTATAAGAAAAAGTAAGATAACTAAGAACAGCTTTGCACTCACATATTATTTAATATATTTATATTTGAATTGTGTTGTAAAATGTATACACTTCTTATTCCAGGTGTGTTAAATTATTCTTAGAAACATCATTGTTCTCTTCATGGAAGCTCATCTTATTTCTTAAACCCTTTCTCCCACCCAGAGAAATACCGTAAAAAATAGGGGAAAAAAAGATGATAGCAAATCTCTCAATCCAAGATTTGCTGTTCCAACCTTTTATGTCTAGAAAGACTCATGGAACTACAACAATTTTTAAAGAATTATAGAAAATAAATATAAAATTCTTATATCTAAAAGCAACACACTGTATCTTGATTTTGGTCTCTGTTTTTCTCTGTTTTCTGATATTCATAGTCATTCTTTCAGGTACTTTTAAAACCTTTCCATGAACAAGTATCTTGAAACAACTCAAATGAAAACTCCACGCTAGAACATGAGCCACAAATGTGTACTTATTGCAAATAAAATTAGAGGAAACAATTTAATAATGGTAGCATTTCTTAATGCCAAAAAAGAGTCAATAATATGGTTTGAGGCAATATTGGCAGATCTGGGTAAAAAGTCAAGACATGTCCAGAAGTGTAAATTAAGTGTTACAATGTCTGATAAGGCCACAGGAACATGTCAGTTGTCCATTGTTCCTCTCCTTTCGGCCATCAGAAAGAATCTGAGTAGCACAGTATTTGAAACTTTTTCAGAACATTTATGAATTAAAAACAACTTTTAAATATATATACTTATTCATGAAAAAGTATAATGGTAAGAAATGTGGACCTCTCTGCCAAGCAAAGCTGGGCTCAAAACCTTGCCTTTTTGTACTTACTAACTTTGTGGTAAGTACTAATAAGGTTGTTTAACCTCACTGGGCATCAGTCTATCCATCATGAAAAAAGACAGCAATACCTCTGTTATAAGCAGTTATAGGTTTAGAAGATATAAGAAAAGTGTCTGGCAAATAATGAGTATTTAATAGATGCTGAATATTATAGACAGTCACACAGATGCCTATGGACAATTTGAATTGAAAATAAAATAATTATCATTACATAATGACCCTTACTTTTAATATCTCTATTACGTAACCTTTATATATGCAATTTTCAATTTATTCCTCAATTTCAGAAAATAGTATCGTATACTTTTTGTATTAATATTACAGCCCTTAGTACAGAACTTGGCACTGAGCATTCAGTAATGACTCTGGAATGCAATGGAATTGGAAAGTGCAAAGCAATGCTTAAGGTCTTTTGGATATTATTTTCCATGGAAGATGATATTGTGAACTTTGAACAACACAAT